GGTGCGCCTGCAAACGACCCTAGATATGTACACGCAGATCGCGTACATGCTTTTGGACGTGTCTCGCTATAACCTTAAGAAATACAAAGAGGATGATAGGAAGAAGAAGAAGAAGAAGGAAGTTGTGGAGGGAGAAGGTCTTGAGAAGAAGAGTTTCCTGAATGCTAGCTCCGTGGATTCGTTCAAGTTCAAGCTTGACACAGAGCCGTGCTGGAGTTTTATTCCACATTGTGTGTCAATTATTTGAGCATAAGTGTATTCTAACTCTCGTTGCTATCTTTGCTTGTGTTTTGGGATTATGTTTACTCAGTTCTGAATGGGTTTTAGTTTTAGCAAATGATTGTCTTAGCTGTGTTTTGGATGGTAGTTTTATTCTGCTTTTCCATCACAGTAAATTATGTGTTCCCTTTCGCTTGTCCTTGAATACATACTAGCATGGCTCTGGTTGCTTGCCTTCTTCGGAATTAATTTTCGTAAGAATACTTATATGTTATTTTGATATAAACTCAAAATTCAATTGACAACTAACCATATCACATTTTTTAAAATTAACTATGGTCAACAAAAAATATTCAGTTTGAGCGAATATTGTTATCCAAGTTCGCGTTTACTATCTTAGATATTGTTTTTGTTAAAAATAGAACATATATTAATATCGAAATAATATCAAAGTATATTAAATTATGTAATGAACAATATCGAACGTGAATGAGCTCGTTTCATTGTACTATTAAACGAGCCTTGTTTTCTGTTCACATTTAGCTCGATGAACAAATGTACAAAGCACCTTTGAAAGTTTTAATGGAGGCATACTGTTCGTTCAACCAGTAAAATAGAGTCCCATGGCCATGGACGTCACAATCAACTCCTCAATCGATGACAAGTGTAAATCTTGATTTATGTACGCATGGGTTCTTGTGATTTTGTGCTGTGCTAATTTGTCCGACAGAGTATTGCAAGAAAACAACACGAACTTATTATGCTTGTCGAGCTCCAGAGACTACATATGATGTCTTAGTTAAAGATCTATAGACTGTTTGACTGTTTACTAGTGTCATGTATGTTTCTCTCGATCATCATGTATAGTAAATCGTGATATACGCTCGGGTTCTTGTGGCTCAAGTTCTTGTGATTAGCATCTGCTCGTCTAGCTTCAAAGATTGCATATGTTCTTTTTAATTATTACCAATCTATAGATTGTTTACAATCGCCATGCACGTTTCTTGTTTACTGTATTTAGGAATTGAGTAGTTAGACAACAGTAGTAAAACACCTATTCTGCATTTCTCACTAAGTGGATAACTACCATTAATATGATCTTTCGCTGATATCTCTCCATCGGTCTAGTGTAGCTTTACTACGGTTTTGCTATGAAGCCAACAATTGACTCCACAGTGGAACCAACCTTCTAGATACAACAAATAAACCTACCATATTAATAAAATTATGTTAGTGTTATTTAAGTAATCAGAGAATATGGTATGTTTATTTGTTGTATATAGAATGTTGGCTCCACTATGGAGCCAACTGTTGGCTTCATAACAAAACCGAACTTTTACTATTGCATAAAGACAGACTATTCAGTACCCCTACTTAATTTCATCAATTTATCGACATTTTATTCATATGTTGCTGGATTTTCTTGCATAAGCGCATTAGCTGTTAAACAATGTCTATTTTCGTACATACTTCACAGAGGTTAGCCTTGGCCATCATTTTAATTAATTAATGGAACAATGTTTTATAATTATACTTATTATTCACATAGATTTTTTAAATATATGATACAATTTTACCAAAATAGTTATTTTATGAAATCACTCTGTATTCAAATCAAATTTTTGAATAAAAGTTTTAGATGTAATTTATTTTGAGCAAAATTTTTGTTCACCACCTTACAACGTAATTAGTATCTGGTGAAAAAA